TTAGAATGTACAGTATTTTGCGCTTATGCTGTCGTAGGTTGCAGCCAGAAACACGACCAAGGGATTAAACTGAATATTGCCTAGTTTTGTGGGGGTTATTTTCGTGTTTTGTGTGTAGAATTTAGTTTTTTAAATGTTCAAAAAACAGCTTGTGCCCCCCCCCCTTTCAGGGCCGGACCATGTGGCCATGTAACCCCTGATGGGCATGTATGTGGTGTTATCGTATCACTCATATGCTTCTTTATCCAGAAATATATAGTTTGCCTCTAGATATACTTTGCTTTGGTGAAATAATGGTCCTCAACCGCCGCTAACGAGTTAAAAGGCCATATTGTCTGGCATTTTAGATTTTGCTATCATCTAATCACCCCACAACATAATGAATGATTTCGGTGTATTTCTAGACACCTGGACCAAACGTTTAGATACCAAAATTATCATCCTAGACTAAATATGGTTGTTATAGGGGATTATTTGAAATGGCGGCCGTCCTGGACGCCATCTTGAATTTCTCAAAACGCTCACGGGTGACCGAGGTCCACCCGGCAGATACTGAAGGAGGACACCATAAGTTACTACAATCAAACCATAAAAACAACTTTGTAGACAATTTCCAGGTTCACTCGAAATATTGGGTTTGGCGACTGGACTACATACTTCAAGTTTCATCAAAATTGTGGCTTTTAGAGTGTCCACAACCTTGATAAACCATTTATTTACACTATTGGCGTACGGTGATATATTCAAACGTTTTTATACGCCAACATTTTCATGTCCGTCCGTCCACAATTTGTTTGTGGACACTCTACAGGTCACAATTCTTATTAATCCAGAATCTGACTATGGTTCTGTAGGAAAGTTGGAGTAGGGAAAATTGTTTTGAAGAAATGTTTAATGGTGCTAAAGTAAGTATTTTGAACTTGGTAGGACACTCACCACGTGGTAGGCTATTCCACTATGATGTCATCAAATATGGCCGCCGACTTTATATCAATTATATCCTACCTGGTCTAGTTTTCTGTCAATTTCTATGAAATAAAGGCCAGAATGAAGCTGTTTATGTGACGTTTTTTGAAGAACATATTTTTGGGTAAAAAGTTCAAAAATATAAAAACAATTAGCCCATTTATAATGCTATAACAAAAAGAAATTCTTTAATAACACTAAAAAACGAAATTTGGTCTTTTTATACAAAGAACTATCTGTGCATACTAATTTATGATGTCAAGCATAGTTACCGCAAGATGTGATGTCATAATACATAGTTACCACAAGATGGAGTATCTTCTGACTGTGAAGAAAAACACCTAACAGTATTCAAACCACCTTTCGTGGAAAAATGTTTTTTTATATCATAGAATCAAGGGATGAATAAACTACTAGTCTGCAAAATGTTGCATTGTATTCAGGACGCCTATTTCACACAAAATCTTAATTAATATTCAAGTGGACCTTCATCATACGCACTTAAACAACATTTAAATATTGTCTACCACCTGTAGCACTTTCCCCTTGAACTAACAATAAATTGTTTATTGGAATTTTCGATTAAATAGTAACATTCTTGTTGCTGTAAAACACTCGATCAAAATACCAAATGTTAATTTATATGATAATTTAAGCCCTATCATGTTATACAAAATACGTTTTAACACCATATCTTTCTGCATGAAATAACAATAAATTGTTTATTGGATAGAACGGAAACATATCTCTTTTCTATTTTGTAGCCGATGAATAATATACGAATTGTCATTTTATATAGCGTATTTCTACTGATGATTCATGTAATGCAGAAATTTGCAACACGTTATAACATCCTATCTTTCCCCTCCCTTTTTACGGATGGGCTGAACAGGGGCATGGTAGTTTCAGGGGTCACCTTTGAGCGTTTTGATAAATTCAAGATGGCGTCCAGGACGGCCGCCATTTCAAAAAATCCCCTATCACATCCATAGTATTTAGTCTAGGATAATAATTTTGGTGTCTAAACGTATGTTCCAGGTGTCTAGAAATACACTGAAATAATTCAATATGTTGTGGGGTGATTAGGTGATAGTAAAATCTAAAATGCCAGACCATATGGCCCGTTAACTCGTTAGCGGCGGTTGAGGACCATTATTTCACCAAAGCAAACTATATCTAGAGGCAAACAATATATTTCTGGATAAAGGGGCACATGAGTGATATGATAACATCACATACATGCCTATCAGGGGACTCATGGGCCGGTCCTGAAAGGGGGGGGTACAAGCTGGGTTTTTTTTTGAACATTTAAAAAAACTAAATTCTACCCACAAAGCACGAAAATAACCCCCACATTCTAAGCCCCCCCCCCCCCTTAGTACATCTACAAGCGAGCGTACTGCATGGGCTGCCACTCTTGCATCCACATCTGATGAGCCACAGTCATGACAGACCCCGGAGCAAGTTGGTCAATTTAACCAAATGACGTCGAAACCCACCCTTATATGGAAATGAAAATTTACCGAAAAAACTAGAATTGAATGTTTAGCACATTATGACTCTTTTTTATATAACAATATGTCATTCATTCACTAAATTGAATTAATTACATACTACATATAGGTGAATCTAATAACTTGCCAAAGAAATTAATAAAGGGGCATATGAGTGATATAATAACATCACATACATGCCTATCAGGGGACTCATGGGCCGGTCCTGAAAGGGGGGGGGGGTACAAGCTGGTTTTTTTGAACATTTAAAAAAACTAAATTCTACCCACAAAGCACGAAAATAACCCCCACAAAACTAGGCAATATTCAGTTTAATCATTTGGTCGTGTTTCTGGCCAAGCGCAAAATACTGAACATTCTAAGCCCCTCCCCCCCTTTGGTACATCTACAAGCAAGCGTACTGCATGGGCTGCCACTCTTGCATCCACATCTGATGAGCCACAATCATGACAGACCCCGGAGCAAGTTGGTCAATTTAACCAAATGACGTCGAAACCCACCCTTATATGGAAATGAAAATTTACCGAAAAAACTAGAATTGAATGTTTAGCACATTATGACTCTTTTTTATATAACAATATGTCATTCATTCACTAAGTTGAATTAATTACATACTACATATAGGTGAATCTAATAACGTGCCAAAAAAATTAATTAATACAATATAATGCAATCTTTAATTTCAAGAGCAAAAATTCTACAAAAAGTGTTACACACGGGACCTCGGTTTTTTGTACCAACCGAACGACTAGACAGCTGTCCTTGTCAGGCCCCCGTCCTGCATCACTGACAAGGGGAATACCACGCCGGAAAATCTGGATGAACTTTCTCGGTCAATGCAGGGATCGAACACCCAACCTTCAAGATAGCGAGCCAGCGTCTTACCTACTAAGCCACCGTGTGAGCCTAAACAAACTGTAAAAGAAAACAATGCATTTGGGTTCAATCCTACATACATCAGACCGTTTCATTAGTGGGACATGGACAATAAATTGATTTTTTTTTTTAATTCTTACTATTTACACTGCACATGGTGGCGAAATTTACCGAAGAAAATAAGTTTCACCGAAACAATTTTTTTAAAAAATGTATTTTTAACATGATACCAGCCCTTTTTCAAAATGGCTGCAAAATTTGGTAATATAATGGCGTTGTCCCCATATATAACAAGTGACTATCTCGTAAGATATGACCTTTACTATGACTTATATATGGTTTACGATGTTTATAAATTTAAAAATGTATTTGAAAAATCTAACGTGGCAGAAATTCAAAATGGCGGATTTTCAATTAATCGTCATTAATTTATTCCTGTTGGATATGACTTGTACAACAGAAATCGTACTAAACCAAAATAGAAATCAGTAACGCCGAAAGTCTTATTAGTTTTAAAAGCATTGCCGTTATGGATTCTATTTTAACAGGATGATTAAAATACAGATCTATATTTCGTTTTTTTATACTTTCGATGGCCTAGAAAACTACATGAACATCTGACAAGTTGTACTCGAATGTCGGGTCAGGGGTCGTACAAGCGGCTTTTAACCCTATGACGTCAGACATTAATTAATCAACCACAGTTCCGTGCATGGCATACCAAGAAATCGCCGTAATACAGACCGTTTCATTGGCTTATCTCTCACTGCAACCAAAACGCCAGTGATATAACAACTATTCCAGATCCTAGTGCAGTAAAACGAAATTTTGAACTATAAAAAACGAAACGAAATAGGATCTGTGTTGTCTTAAATTTACACCATCTGTGCTATTCAAAGTTAGACTGTAACCTCAAAAACCTTATTTAAGACATATTACAAGCCATATCCAACGGAAGAAGATGACGATTATTACAGAAAAAGCCATTCTGGATTCAATTTTGGCTGCAACTTTGAATTGCTGGATTTTCGAAATTCGTCTTTTAATTCAGAGACATCAAAATCCATGGCATATAAAAGACATAGTAAGGGTCATATCTTACGAGATTATCGCTGGTCTTATCGGTAAAATGCCCCAAGGACAAAAATCGCAATTTTCGTTTCTATTTTGATTATCGTTTTAAATTTTACATCTGGACTATTCATACTTATTTTGTATTTTCGAAATTTATATTTAGCTCCTTGATCATGGAATCACACCCTTCTAGAGAGTTGTTGGTCTGTGTTCCTCTGTGTCGTACTGGTCCCACTGATAAATGGCGTAATATTCACCTTCGGACCATTGGTTTGTTATGTAATCGGCCAATTCAATTATTTTCGGCTATATAAAGTAGGTAGTATTAGTTTAAGCCAATGCCCAATAAAATAACCCAATGTGAATGGTTTGGGCTACTCATTTTAAAAACACGGTTACGGTTGAACCAACTTGTATTCAGGAAATGAAATCATCCGAGAAGAAAACATTTCCATGTAGGTCAATGGCTACCTGTTTTTATCTGGGGTCATATACCGTGACGTTTATATTGAATACCTCTAGCTGTATATAATACATGTTATTCACATGCTTATTGAGAGTTGTCGACCTTCTAATATACATGAAGGATATTATTTAACAGGGATGTCATATTAAGCTTGCTGAGTGTGTTTGTTATTATATTACCGAAGTTTGATATTTATTTTAAGACAAGTAGCGATCCGTTAAGATGATATGAAATTTTATTTATGAGTGGATGTGACCTACACTACAGAAGTTTAGAGGATTGGTGTGAATAGTCTTATAGTGTTTTATAAATACCAGAAGTTGACCCAGTTATTTAACCCTGATATTAAGTAGCGATTCATTATGAAGATATAAAATTTTATTTTTGAGTGTATGTTACCTACACTACAGACGTTGTGACCTACACTACAGAAGTTTAGAAGATTGGTGTGAATAGTCTTATAGTGTTTTATATACATGTATACCAGAAATCAGAAGTTGGCTCAGATAATAAGCAATAGTAGCGATCCATTCAGACGATTCAGTTTTATTTATATGAGTGGATGTGACCTACACTATATAGAAGTTAAGAATATTATAGTGTTTTATATATACCAGAAACCAGAGGTTAACTCAGTTATTTAGCCGTGATATAAAGGAATGGTGTGAATTACGGCTTTGGTTTATATACATATTTTGATCATACCTTGTTGAAGGGTCAGAGTTAAACATGGGGAAGTGTAGTCAGTTATTTCACCCTAGAAACTTTCTATTATCTTATCATCAACCAAAACATTTCGTTACTTTTGAGGTAAGTCAAAACTATACAAACTGTTTATACACGTCTCAATTCTATAAAATGCAATTACTATTTGAAGTAAGTCGAAACTATCCAGTTTATACACAAGTCTCAATTCTATGAAATACTTGGGGGGGGGGGGGGGGGTTAATGGCCTAATGGTTACCACGTGCGCGCTGTATCATAAGGCCTGTCATTGAGTCAACTGGCGTGTTTTCGAATCCCCGGTTGTACGTGATAAGGAGTAGGGTACGTCGCTTGTCCAACCTCGTGGGTTTTCTCCGGGTCCTCCGGTTTCCTTCCACTGCTAAAGACCCCTACACGTAAGCGAATTATTGAAATAGAGTTAAACCATATGTTAGACCCGAAATGACCTAGTTTGTGTCGAGTGGACGTTAAACCCCATTTCTCTCTCTCTCTCTCTCTCTATCTAGGAAATACAATTACTATATATTGCTGAGCTTTTTTATCACGTGTATAAAATACAATTATAAAGATTGCATAATACGACACGATTCCGTGAATTAATGCTGGATGACTTACTGATTCCAGTAGGAATCTCAAGTCATTATCAAACAAATAGAAATGAAATGAAATGAAATGGGGTTTAACGTCCTACTGTTCTGCTCCTAAACTGGGCTAATGAAGACGGGCATACGCCATACAGTGTGCTATGAGAGAAATTTTGCCCGGGCAGCGGCGCTACGGCCTACTCTTATATCGCCAAACAAATAGAATACTATAATAACAGCAATGAAATAACTGGACTAATGAAGACGGGCATAAACGGCATACAGTGTGCTATGAGGGAAATCTGGCCCGTACAGCGGCGCTACGGCCTACTTATATACATAAGTATATACTGATGCAGGACGGAGGTCCTGACAAGGACAGCTGTCTAATCATTCAGATGGGACGAAAAACCGAGGTCCTGTGTACACATTGGCGTGCACGTAAAAGATCCCTTGATAGTTGGAATTCGATATAAGAGTAGGCCCTAGTGCCGCTGTTCGGGCAAAATTTCCCTCATAGCTCAATGTATGGCGTATGCCCGTCTTCATTATCCTAGTAGGAGCAGAACAGTGGGGCGTTAAACCCCATTTCATTTCATTTAATTTCCAACTGTCCCTCTGCCCTGCACTAACAAGGGGGAATCACGCCACCGCGGCTCCCAAATATAACAACAACTTATATTGGTAATGAGACAATGTCACTAATGGGGTTTAATATCCACTCGACACAAACTAGGTCATTTCGGGACTAACACATGGTTCAATTTTATTTCAATAATTCGCTTGTGCGTAGGGGTCTTTAGCAGTGGGAGGAAGCAGGAGGACCCGGAGAAAACACATGAGGCTGGACAGACGACCCTACTCCTTACCACGTACAACCAGGTAATCGAACTCACGCCAGCTGACTCAATGGAAGACCTTATGATACGGAGCGCACGTGCTAACCATTCGTCCATCACCTCCCCCCCCCCCCCAAGAATTAAGGATCGCCAGATCTAAATGCTAACTATTGTCTTGTTATTCCTGGGAACTAACGTCCGCTTTGACCTAGGAGATGTTACACACACATTCAATTATTGTAATTATCGTTTTTGTGCCTTGTGCATTTTTATAATTAATGTCAAAAAATTTACACGAGTTTTACACAAGATAAATTCAATTATCTACCAGCATATAAAGGTTAATATTGTTTTTTTTTATGATTAGTATTATAAATTATAGATTTGAGAGAAGTTCAGGACATTGAACGTCAATCTTGTTTTTAGCTTAATTATAGAAGTTATTATCTATATTATAGAGCGTGACCAAATCTATTTAATATAATTAATAATTCATAACAATGACCTTCACCTCCGGATATATGGGTACATGTACTTTTAGTTATATTTTATACATACATTCCCCGGTTTCACGAAGCAATCTCAAGTTACGAATTTACTCAAAATTGTTCGCCTTATTGTAACTAAAATATAGCCCTTTATAAAACTTTTGTTGTTTTAATGAATCAAATACATCACTAAGAAAGTATGTGTATTTTTTGTGATTCTGGGTCAATGTTATTTCTCATAAACAGTGATTGATAGTTGAGTAAATTCTTAACTTAAGTCTGAGAATGCTTTGTGAACTCGGGGCCAGATGCGTCATAAATAGATATAAGAACATTAAAAAAAATAATGAAATAAAACGTATTTCCCCTAATTTTGACAAAAATAAAAATTGTAGCTACTAATAAAGAAATGAAATGAAATGAAATGGGGTTTAACGTCCTACTGTTCTGCTCCTATGCTGTGCTAATGAAGACAGGCATACGCCATACCATACAATGTGCTATGAGGTAAATTTTGCCAGGGCAGCGGCACTATCGCCTACTCTTATATCGAATTCCAACTGCCAAGGGATCTTTTACGTGCATTCCAATGTATTCGTCTCATCCGAAGGACTAGACAGCTGTCCTTGTCAGGCCCTCCGTCCTGCATCACTGACAAGGGGGAACCACGCGACCTCCAGGCTAGCGAGCCAGCGTCCTACCAACTAATAAAGAAAGATCCCGACGAAGGCCAAGAAGAATCTTATCCTTGGTGGCGTATTTTTGGCTGAGAATATAACTAGTCGTTCAGATGGGACGAGAAACCATTCCAGTAAGAAAAACCGTATATCATGTTTTCTTATGTAAAAAAAACTACCTTGGAAGAAAAACCCCTTACAGGTTTGAAGAAAAACTTTCAGAAGAATAACCCCAAATTCCCCTGATTTTCAGACCGCACGTTATTCCGGCATAGAATATTACGAAAGCCCAGAAGGCTCATTCCAAATTCCAAATGCGAAATTACAAATTACAAATTACAAATTACAAATTCATGTCTTACCGATAAAATAGCAAATTGGCAGCCCCCCTCAATTAAACAAATTAGAATTTATATAAATTGTAATTTTACACAACTAATTACTTCTAGTTTACCTATCTAGCCGGATAAATACCCGTTCCAAATTCCAAATTCCAGATTCCAAATTCCAAATTGCAAATTCTAGATTCCAAATTTCAAATTCCAGATTCCAAATTCCAAATTCCAAATGCGAAATTCCAAATTCCAAATCTGATCCGACCAATCGGATCAGGTTTTTGCTTTTGACTAATCAGTTAGAGTATAATAACAATATTCCAGTTCGGGTTTGCTTCGGCAGATGTGAACAGTTTGGGGCAAAGTTCCTCTGCAGTGAGCTACTCTGCTACTCGGTATCCTAGGACTGGCATTTTTTTTCTTTTTTTTTTTTTTGCTACAGCAGCAAATTTGGAATTTGGAATTTGGAATTTGGAATGAGCCTTCTGGGCTTTCGTAGAATATACCCCAGAGATAAAAGAGATTTACCGTTTTAGGTTTATAAAATATGTTTGATTTATTTCAGTGGGGATGGCCAACAGTGTATTTGGTATGGCGGGTCTTCTGGGCATTGTATCATTTAACATGGACGATATTAACTGGAGTTTATGCCTATGAATGGACGACATCTAAAGCTAACGAGATCACGTGGTTTATATATTTAACACACTGGGGTTACGTGGTGCTGACAGTCAGTGCTCTTATGGAAATGGCGGCCTCTATACATATCAAGTGTAACAGACCGGATATTACTGCAGGTAACTACACTAATACCACACAGGTATACAGGTATACATGAGAACAGGAACGCCCTTGTTACCTGTGTGATTTTTTTAAAAAATTTTATTTTTTTTTTTTTTTCTTTGATTGGCATTTAGTAATTGGACATATTAACACAAGGTACAATTTTATGGATACACAATTACTGAGTTTAATATTAAGCGACGTTTCGACGAGGATACCCTCGTCTTTATCAAGCAAATGATACAGATATGTGAATAGTAGACAAATATATACAGAATATGCAACAGATGTGTTGGTTTAGTTGTAAATGGCCACCTAATCAGAGGTGTTAAGTTTTAATTGTATTTGATTGTTATTTTTTTGGCATATTCTATATATATTTGTCTACTATAACACATACAAATGATACAGGTATGTGAATAGTAGGCAAATATATACAGAATATGCAACAAAGATATGTATTTAATTCTTATCTTTTTTGCATATTCTGTATATATTGCCTACTATTCACATACCTGTATCATTTGCAGAAAATCATCAAAATATTTTGAAAAAAATCACATAGGTGCATCACATAAGGGCGTGTCTGTCCCCATGTACCTGTGTAATATCAATATTAGCAACATGAAGAATTTATGCTGAGGTATATGCTATAATCATGATAGTTCTTGTCTTGTTGGTTCAGCGAGTTAGGCACTGGCTCCCTAACCTGGAGACCCCAGGTTCGATCCTGGTGTTGGCCGAGAATGATTCTCGGAATTTCCGGGCATGGTTTTCTCTTGTCAATGGTGCATGACGGATGGCATGACGAGGAACAGCGTCTAGTCGTACGGATCGCGCGAAAAAAACGAAGTGCGCCACTGACAAGGGGGAACCACGCCGGAAAATCCCGATGAACTTTCACGGCCAACACAGGGATGAAACACGGGACCTCCTGGCCCCGAGTTCACAAAACATTCTCAGGCTTAAGTTAAGAATTTACGCAAATTTCAAGCAATGTTTATGAGAAATATCTTTGTTCCAGAAACACAAAACTTTGCACATAGTTTCTTATTGATGTATTTGATACATTAAAACAACAAAAAAAAAAATATAAAGGGCTATAATTTAGTTAAATAAGAAGAATTTTGAGTAAATTCTTAACTTAAGTCTAAGAATTCTTTGTGAACTCTGGGCCAGGTTAGCGAGCCTATGTCCTACTCACTGAACCACCGTGGCACCCAAAAGCAGAAAAGAAGAGAGAAGAGAAACTACATGAATTGGTCACAATAATCGGGTCCATTACAGGATCTCAGAAAGCGATACCAATCAGATTATAATACAGATCTATATTTCGTTTCGTTTTTTTATACTTTCGATGGCCTACACTACATGAAGATTTGACCAGTTGTACTGGAAGGTCGCGTCACAGGTCATACGAGCGACTTTTGACCTTATGACATCAGACATTTGATTAGCCAATCAGCATTGATGTTTCTAGTGGATTACCCACAGTTCCGTGCAGGTCACGCCAAAAGATCGCCGTAACAGACCGTTTCATAGCCTAATCCCTCACATCATCCAGAACACGTCAATGATAACAACTCTTCCAGATCCTAGTGTAGTAAAGACAAGTAAACCGAAATTTTGAACTATAAAAAACGAAACGAAATAGGACCGCTTTTTAATCAGATTGACAGCGATACCTGCCTTTTGAAAGCGGTCACAATATTCATTGTCGGCAATAATCAGGAAGCCTGGGAAACCACTCTGAGACTTTGAAAAAGTATTCGCCATCTACCAAAAACATATCCAATGGCAACGAACTTTCTAAAACCATTAACCATTGCCAGACCCGATAACAGGTGACCAACCTTGAAATAGACACTTAAAGGTCAAGAAATTGTCAGATATTTCAGGCTTACATAATGTTGTTTACTCAATGTTTGTTTTTTTTTATTTCTAGGCCAAAGTGAAGAAATGTCAGTTTATCTAAAGGCTGTGTGGGTAATGGTTAATGTTTCTAATGCTGCATCATTCGCTATATCAGTTCTATTCTGGGGTCTTTTATATACACGTAAGAATTTGAGACAATTTTTAAAAGTTACATGGAGCCACAGTGGCTCGGTGAATAAGACGCTGGTTGATACACTCGCCGAGGAGGCCCGGTGCTCGATGAGAGAGAGAGAGAGGGAGAGGGGGAGAGAGAGAGAGTACCTGGGGATCTTCTAGTGTGGTTTCCCCAGAGTTGGGCAGGGCAAAGGAATTGACAAGGAACGGTGTCTAGTCATTCGGATGGAACAAAATAACCGAGGTCCTCCTTACACGTTGGCGTTCGTAAAAGAACTCTCGACAATTAGAATTCGACCGGGGTGTGGTGACCTATAATTTTACGTCCGCCCCCCCCCACCCCCTAAAAAAAAAAAAACAATACACACTATTTATATGCGTGGGGAGCAATCTGACTTTTCGGGCAGACGTGTAAAGTGAAAAAAAAATTATTTAACCTTTTTTTTAATTGAACACCACGAATCTATACTGAATTTACTATGGATTAAAGTATTTTGTCTGGAGCCACTCTACTTTGTGCGACATTTTTCGGGCATCGATTATTATTTGTGGAATGGTTGGAATTCAGGTCGGCCTAGAGTGGAATTTCGGGTGCAACCCGATTGGAAACTTTGAATTTGCTTAATTCACGAGCTCAGAAAAACGGTTAAATTTTCAAACTTTTCTCGGGGAGCGCGAGTACCCCATACCCCGCGACGATTGATTGGTTGTCTGGGATTTGGGATTCGGGTAAGTCACCTAATAGGCTATATTGGACGACATTAAAGGACAATATTGGTGTCAGTCATTATAAAATATGTGATAGAGCTCGTTAAATACATCCCGGGGAGCGCGAGTACCCCATACCCCAAGACGATTGATTGGTTGTCTGGGATTTGGGATTCGGGTAAGTCACCTAATAGGCTATATTGGACGACATTAAAGGACAATATTGGTGTCAGTCATTATAAAATATGTGATAGAGCTCGTTAAATACATCCCAAATATAATTTTAACACAGAGATCATTGCTACGGGAGTTGTGTAACAAGCACGTGAAGAAACGGGAAGTGACGTCAAACATGACAAACATGAGTTGTCCTTCTATATAACTGACTGAAGTAACGAGCGGTAACAGACAAACCGATCGAATTTCATTTCACTGATAATTCCGTTGAAGATGAAAAGTTGTTATATGAGACGATGAGAGGATATCTGACAATTCAAAAAAAGAATTGGCTGTCAGTAGATAAAAGATAACGAACAAATTAGAAAAAGTCCGTGCATTACGATGTTTTTATTAAGAACAGAATGAATAAAAACGGGGGAATGCACGGGATTTTTCTACTTTTTCTCGTGTTCCTTATCTAGTGACAGCCAATTCTATTTTTGAATTGTGAGATACCCTCTCACCGTCCCATATAATAACTTTTCAACTTCAACGGAATTATCAGTGAAATGAAATTCGATCGTTTGTCTCTTACCGCTCGTTACTTCAGTCAGTTATATAGAAGGACAACTCGTGTTTGTCATGTTTGGCGTCACTTCCTGTTTCTTCACGTACTTGTTACACGTCTCCCGTAGCAATGATCTCTGTGTTAAAATTATATTTGGAATGTATTTAACCAGTTAAATTTTCAAACATTCATCGAGTTCGTACATCACGGGACCATTTTATGTATAAATGTATCTGATATTTCTAGAATTATCTTTGCAAGAGGACACCGCTGAAACGTAACGTGAAACACCCTTCATAAAAGGCTTCTGGTTATAAAAAAAATTAAAAGTCAGGTCATAATCCAAATGTATAAATAATGAATTTATTTATCGTTGATGTTATACATACTTATTCAACAAGGACGTTACTCAAATATCTATTTCATTTTTACACATGTGACGGCGTTAAGGAGTATAAAAGGTCTGACTATTCATTTTATTCGTGCAAACCAGTGAGGTGTTAACAATAGTTACATATAAATAGAAGACGTTAATACAGCCGTCTTAACGCTAGGTTCCCACTATCATGATCAGGGGCGGATTGGGGCGGGAAACCGACTCGGGCTCCCGTGTCGGAGCGGCGCCTTTTACTGACCGCGGAGCCCGGATGGGGGGTCCGGGGGCTCTCCCCTATGAAAATTTTGAAAAATGAACCCCAAATATGCGATTTGGTGGCATATCTGTTTATAATCTCTGCAAATAATATATCTCATAAATCGATTAATTTACGCCAAAACCCCGACATGCAAGTAATTTACAACCATCAACCTGTGAAATTATCATATCGTCATATTATTAATTAACGTATTATCATTGTATCGTCAAGACCAGCTATCATCAAATTTTGCCGAGGCCTTAAAATTGAATTTTTTGGGGGGAGTTACGAACCATCGGCAGACGTTTCTGGTGACAGTGTCGGGTGAATCCGATGAAATTTTCGGATGAAATTCGGAATCCCATGTACACATTGGCGTGAACGTAAAAGATCCCTTGGCAATTGGAATTCGATATAAGAGTAGGCCGTAGTGCCGCTCTCCGGGCAAAATTTCCCTCATAGCACACTATATGGCATATGCCCGTCTTCATTAGCTCAGTTCGGAGCAGAACAGTAGGACGTTAAATCCCGTTTCCTTTTATTTCGCAAGAGCTAAATCTGCCTATTGCAGGTATTTCTTTAGGCCTGAAATGTTATCGTCCGTTTTCATTTATTTATTGTACCTGTTTAGTCCCACGTCCAGCTCATATTTGTAGAATATTTTACTATATCGTAGTAATTTGCGATGGTAGATGGCAGCCAACGTCATACCAAACTTACAGCAGGTTTCGCTTATTATGGTAGTTTGGTCAATTCGGCCATATGTCTGTAGGAAACCGGAAAGAAGTGTGGAAAGAATTGGGAGTGTTTATTTTTAGGTCGGTTACAGAAGCCGGGAATTCCTACAAACTGATGTAGACAACAGAACATGTCGGTAACCTTATCCCTTACACGGGACCTCGGTTTTCCGTCTCATCCGAAGGAATAGACAGCTGTCCTTGTCAGGCCCTCCGTTCTGCATCACTGACAGTGACAAGGGGAAACCACGTCGGAAAAAATGGATGAACTTTCTCGGCCAATGCAAAGATCGAACACCCGACCTCCAGGCTAGCGAGCCAGCGTCTTAACTACCTAGCCACCGTGGCTCCCGTATGGAAATGTCCTCCGCGACCGACCTGAAAATGAACACCACCGTACAGATTGCATGTTTACTGCTACTCTTTGTTTAACAAACCGACCAGTTGCTTCTTTTATAAGGATATAATTTATGTATCCTATTGCCTTTTCGAACTGATCATTCTGTTTATTTTATGATTTTATTTTCTTTTCAGCTGCCTATACCCTAACAACGGCCGATGTGGCAACCCATGCCTTGAATTCATTTTATGTTTTGGCTAACCTGATAATAACGGCTGTGCCTATTCGCTTGTACCATTTCATTCATCCAACCATATTCAGTGTCATATACATCATATTTACTGTAATTTATCAGTTTGCTGGAGGAAAAAATGGCCTAGATAAACCCTACATTTATTCTGTCATTGATTGGAGCAAACCTGAAACTGCTGCCTTATATGGAGTTCTTGCTGCTTTAGTGCTGACACCTCTATGTCACGTGGTAGTGTTCCTTATTTATCTCGCCCGAAGAGCCATTTTTAATGCATGTTTAAAAAGAGAAGATGCTGATTTAGAACTCGAAGAAAAAAAACCCAAAAACTTATTAAATAAATGAACATGCCATTAGAAATTGAACTATTACGTACCGATTTAAAAAATATATATATTTGTGTTTTTAATTTAATTTATTTGATGTTATAGATTTTGTATATTTTATTAATGTATGTTGAGATACTCATTTAAAATGTTATTGATGAAAATAATGGAGCATTTAAAATATTTGTACATTTTATTAAACATTTCATAATGGGGTTATTGCTTATTTTAATACTATGCTTAGATGTTAAACGTTGAAAATGTATATAATCAGGGGTCTGGTTGTTTGGGGTGAGTGGTCTTATTTATGCGCGTTAGATCATAAGGTCTGTAGTAGAGCCAAATGGTGTGGTTTTGATCCCAAACTTGTACGTGACAATGAGTTGGGTCGCCAGTTTAAACTCGTGGGTTTTCTCTGCCCCCCCCCCCCGGCGTTACTTCTCTCTCTGTATATAATTCCCATTGTTTAGCCAAATTTACACGAACCTCGTGGGGCCACGTTAGTGAGCTCATAAACCACGAGTTCCTGAGTCCGATCTCGGTATTGGCTGAGAAAGTCCCTTGTCAGTGATGCAGGAACTATATGTTAGTCCCGAAATGGCCTAGTTTGTATCGAGTGGACTTTAAACCCCTATTACACCTATCGCAGTAAAGAATATTTGACATAGCAACTTGATTCCCTTTTCCCGCACCCCACTCATAGATCAGGATTTAAGGCATTATATTAGTGGATTCAAAGATGACTTTTATTTATTTTGAAAAAAAGATTAGTCAAAATGTTTTCAATCGAGACCGAAAAGCCCCTAGCTGACCCACTGGGCCCTCGGACAATGTCCGACAGTCCGATTCCCAGTCAGCCCTAGTAGCCCCGATGTCGATGGCTAAGTGGGTAAGACGCTGGCTCGCTAGCCTGGAGGTCTGGTGTTCGACCCCTTTATTGGCCGAGAAAGTTCATCCAGATTTTCCGACGTGGTTCCCCTTGTCAGTCATGCAGGACGCAGGGTCTGACAAGGACAAAAACCGAGGTCCCGTATATACATTGACGTGCACGTAAAAGATCCCTTGGCAGTTGGAATTCGATATAAGAGTAGGCCGTAGCGCCGCTACCCGGACAGCGTTTCCATCATATAGCACACTGTATGGCTAATCAAGGATCCTACAAATCACCAACAAGAACTGACGACAGTGTTTTGTGTCAGTAGTGCACAAAGTATTGCAAAAAGTAACCGTTATACCCATGCATATTGTACACATTGTTTCCTCAAATGTCATAAATTATCAGTGATGTTGTTTTGTTTTGTTTTTTTATATCTCCATTTATCTTATATGAAATTTGATTTCAGATTCTACCTAATGATTCTAATATTCCTTCGACTATTACTGGATATTTTGTAAGTAAACAGTATTGGTGTATCTTTAGAAATCGTGTGAAGGCCTTGCTTTAAAATTACAACAGACTTAGTGTTATAATAGACCTGACCAGCATTCATCTACTAGTACTTGGTCGACCCATTATTCATTAATAGGTTGCATCTGTGAAAATAGACAAAATATGTATTCAGCAGGGGCCATTTTACACGTCCCAACCCTTCGGACATTGCCCGGTCATGTTTATGAATACTTAAATTATCACGTTTTGTGAAAGTGGAACTGACCTGTGGGGTATTTTTGATGTCGTAAACAGACGCATTTCTTAATTAAAGATACATTATGGGAGATTAGATAACGAGTTGGCAGTTCTCACTATAATAGTTAAAAACTTGATAATGTAAAGGCAATTTGCTGAAAATTTCAGTTAAATTGATCCACTATGAACCGAAAATAAGCGATTGAAAGTTCCGCATAGCCTCGGTCATCATTACTAAAGTCTGTACGACAAAAATCATAGTCTCGATTATCCATTTAATCGTTAAATCGAGAAGGAAATAAGTTATGCAGCAAATCGGATCATAATCCAACAATTATCGCAGGCTAGCGTTGACACCGAGAGTTGATTATGGTCTGGATACGTTAATTAATGTCTAATCAATAGTATTTATAACATTTCAGGCCTAAAGAAAGACCTACAATAGGCAGATTTAGCTCTTGCATAATGTATGTTTAAATATCCGTTTGTGTATTCTATTTGTATTTTCAGGGAGTAATATCTACCAGCTTTTATTTGTATTTTCAGGGAGTAATATCTACCAGCGTCCTATTCTATGGAGCGTATAATAAGAACGATTGGGGTTACTATGAGCGACCATTGGTTTATTTAATGACCTGGGGCCTATTTCACGAAATTTTAACTAAGACAAAATCCAAATTTTAGTAATTTGATTGGATAATATTCGATTGATTTTAGTGCTTAACCAATCAAAATTGTAGTATCTACTAAAATTTGGATTTTATCTTTAGTTAAAATTTCTTGAAACAGAGCCCAGGATTTCTGTCAACATTATATTATCTTTAATTGTTATATATCCGCCATTGAATGGAATGGGGTTTAACATCATACTTTTCTGCTTCATCCGGGTTAATGAGCACGAGCATACGCCATACAGTGTGCTTTGGGTAAAATTGTGCCCTGACAATTGCGCTACAGCCTACTCTTGTGTCAAGTTACTTCAGTCAATGGTTCTTTTACGTACAGCCAATTGTGTACACGGAACATCTGGTTTTCGTACCATCTGTATTTTTAGTAGCACGACGTAGTAAGATTAATAATATAAAACAAGAATTACCCTTTAAAAAAACTTGAACAAAACCAATTCCATTCCCCGGAATTGAATATTCACAACTTTCCTTACAGAGGTTTGCTATATACCCGCCTTGCCCCCTCCTCATCCTTAACCTCCTCATCCCCAGTCTGACTGATACTTTTTCCGAAAACGAGTGCTTGTTCTGGTTACATAATTCCTGTTGTTATCCTCTGCTGATGACCTTGATTTGTTTGTCTTATCTCGTCTGTATTAATCGTGGACTACACAAATGATAAGAGTACGGACTACATGTTATAATGGTGTAAAATATGATTTAACCAGAATTAAGATGAAACGAGACCATTGTAATTCAGAAAGCATGATTTCATCTCTCTTTATACTGTTTCTCTTCTGTTCTGTTCCCGGGACACCCATACCAATGGTTTAGATACCGCCTAGTTAGTAAGTCAGTGCCATACACACAGAGTCGTTGTTTTGGAGATAAAAACATCAAGTGAAATGACATGAAATGGGGTTTAACGCCCTACTGTTTTGCTCCGACTGGGCTAATGAAGACAGGTATATGCCATGCAGTGTGCTATGAGGGAAATTTTGCCCGAACAGCGGGGCTATGGCCTACTCTTATATCGAATTCCAACTGTCAAAGGATCCTTAACGTACACGCCAATGTGTACATGAGGCCTTGGTTTTTATCCCATCTGAACGACTAAACAGCTGTCCTTGTCAGGTCCTCCTTCCTGCACCACTGACATGGGGAAACCACACTGGAAAATCCCGATGAAATTCCTCCGCCAACACCGTGACCTCCAGGCTAGCCACCTGGCTTCATAAACATAAAAAAAAACAATTAGAGACTATGAATTAGTATATCACCATCGCATTCATTGATTCTAGTGTGATATGCTAGTTCCAGGGGTTTCTTTTGTTTGACATTATTCAAGTGTGATTCGTGATGCTGATACTCTTTTGATGATAGTGAAATATATTTATTCACAAGGGGTGTGTTATGGAGAAACAATGATTTTCCGGTAGATAATCCACTGAAGAATTTCTATCCACTCAAACATGGTTCTTTCAATTACGGTTCTTTGACAGTTTCTAAAGATCCTGCAGGTGGAAGCGAAAACGAAAACTACCATTACCGTATCCTACAAAGTGTATTCCAGTCCTGGTTTCGACTTTGTAATGGGAGGGAAGTTACCCGGCTTGTTTGGTGATTGTTCTGGTGGACGTCATTCAACCACCTGTTTCTCTGCTCGACTCATGTGGAGGGAGAAAGGTGATGGAGAGATCTATGTATACATGCCAGATCAGGCTGCGGGATTCTACGAAAGAAAAGACGTAATTTGTTTCCCAGGTAATCTCACTGAACATCTTCAGCTAAATACTGTTGGGAAGAGTAATGGACTTGCTAAGCTTTTTGTGGATGGAAATCTGGTTTATAGTGGACAGAACTTAATATGGAGAGTTTGCGATAATTAATGGTCTCTTCTTTTCGCCAATTTTTGGTGGTGGAAGCCCTCCGTGGGCCTCCAGACTGGATTGTTACTCATATTTCAAAGATTTTATTATATCGGAGGGTGCCGAAGTACCAATCATTGGATGATAAAAGATCATAATAAATCACGACACGACAGTTCAATAATTATGATCACGCCAAATAAAAAATTCTGTTCAACTGTTAAAATGTTGAAATTGTATTACTGTGGTCGTACAAAAACGGGAAAGACTATCCAAAAATATGACCGAATGTCTTTGGATGTTTTTATGCAGAGTATGCATAATCACCATTGTAAGCTCTATTAAGCACCATTTTAAAAAAAAAACTGAAGCGAAAGTTTGTAAGTGGTGTCTGTGCTGCTGGCAAGGAAATCGAGTCATGTCGTAGACATTGGTGTTCACGTAAAAAAAAGCCTTGGCAGCTAGAATTCGAAGAAGATTAGGTGGAAAATTACCATTTCTAAAAATGACATAAAGAGACTTTAAACTCAATTTCGTTCCGTTTAGAATTTCGGAGTCAAAGCTACTTTGTTCGAAGTTAACATCTGGATAATAATAAAGATCACCAACAGAGTCACTAACCGAACTTTAAAAACTTAAATGAAAAAAGTCAAGCAAGATTGGTGCATATATATGTATTCTACCTAGAATTCACATCTCCTTTAATTCAGTAAGTCCAGGACCCGAGTTCCGAATGATCGCGTGAAATTGTCTGACTCTGTTCTGGTGAACAATCCTAATCCCGGTTCGAGATTAATTTTCATCCATAGTTTGCATGCAGGATAAATTACCTTACGCCTTACTGTTCATCTGATAATTCCAAAACACAAATTATGATATATAGGTCTCATCGCCATCTTCATCTTGAAGTTAAACCACTCTCGACCTTTAAACTGCAGGCACTTCAATATAAGTACATTTGTTCCCATAGCATTTTTCAATCATATTTTCGCCAGACGTTGATAAGATTTTTATCTATTTTTTTTAAAAGGAACCCATTAGTCAGATTATTCCCTCAAGAGGTAATTTTGTTGTTTTTGTGGCATATTTTTTATTAAAATGTCTATTTGTTGTCTTGGTTACCGAAGAAGTAAAATGGAGGATCAAGGAGATGAGTACCGGTTTGCGTGGAGAGCTCTGTCGTCTTGGGATTATACTGTAACTGATAAAAGTGGAGTATCAGTTAGAATGGCGGCTATCAGGACTGATTTTAAAGTAGGCAATAAAAAAAAATAAGGAAAATGTATTCTATAAAACCTTAAAGGGGCAATGCAATGTCATGTCATGAAATGACAATCATATCCCTGGAAAATGAAATTGGGTTTCACGTCCTAGTTTTCTGATCTAACCGGGATAATGAAGACGAGCACACGTCAAGCAATGTGTTATAGGGGCATGTTGCCCGTACAGTGGCGTTTCTGCCTATTCTTCGTTGTGTTCTTATGCTTACAAACCAACGTGTACACGGGACTCGGATTTTCTTCCAGGACGCTTTTCCTTGCCATCTCCGCCCCACATTAATAGAAAAATTTCCAAAGTACCCGGGACCCGATTAACAAGTCACCGCCTTACTCGCCAAGAAACCATGCCCCCCCCCCTCTCCTCACACAATAATATTCCCAATCACGCCCGAAACTCAAATCGACGAATTGTAATTTAACTAGTGTCATTTGACATTTTACATTCATTTCTACTGTCGTCTTGAAGCTAACACTATAAGGCATGAACTGCGTACATTGTGATAAAATGGAATAGAACTCCCCGCGAATCAAAGGCCAGCTTAACCGGAGCGGGCCCCTGGGCCTGTGTGGAATCGCGGGGCCCCTAACGCGACCTTAAGATTATTTCATATCCTTTTAAAGGTTGAGGGATAGCTCAGTCTCCGCCCTCGCGCCGCTAGATCGATTACCGTGAAACTTTTATCTGGCATTTGAATTTTTTCTCCTTTTGCCATGAACGGCGGGGCCCTCCAAATCCCTTACCGCAAATTATCTCTATTTCATGTTCTTAATAAAGGTCCTATCATTATGCTGATCTTCTGTTATCTGTAGTATTACAACATACACCTTTTGATGTAGTCGAATGGGCCGCGGATATCTTTGATCTGGAAACATCGTAACTGTACAAACCAATGGCATTAGATGGATTAAAATAGTACAATATAAATCCAAATCTTCAACATCTTCTTGGGAGGGCGTATCCCCGATCACTTCACCTTCAATGTAAAATCAAATGAAATGAAATGGGGTTTAACGTCCTACTGTTCTGCTCATAACTGGGCTAATAAAGACGAGCATACTAGGGAAATGAGGGAAATTTTGCCCGGACAGCGGCACTACGGCCTATTCTTATATCGAATTCCAACTGTCAAGGGATCTTTTATGTGCACGCCAATGTGTACAAGGGACCTGGGGTTTTCGTCCCATCCGAACGACTAGACACCCGACCTCCAGAGTCAGCGTCTTACCCATTTAGCCACCGTGATCCCCCAACGTTCAATTGCAGTCTATCCTCCAAATTCTAGTACCCTCTTAGGGTCATTCTTAGGGTTATTTAGCGGAACCTGAGTGATTTTTGTTGTTGGGAGAATGAAGTTGGCGAAGAGATATTTAAAGTTGTTACATTAGATTGTTATATTGTTCAGTGTCAAATCTGGAATAAGGTAATACATATTTTTACTTCAATAAAATGAAATGGGGTTTAACCGTCCACCTTTCTGTTTTTCATTCTCTAAACGGAAAATTCCTTATAAATAAGATTTGATTTTATAATGATGTTTTAATAATTTTTGCGTTAAAATTGATTTTAATGTGAAGTTTTAGTCAAAATTGATTAAATAACGTTGTTTTCATACCGACTGCTGGAGTCAGTATTGATTTCTTTTTTTACGAACGTTTGTGTTTTAACAATTTTCAATTTAGTAAGGTAACCAATTGCAGATGGACTTGTCTAGACTCGTTTGATGTAAATATTAAAATTGCTGGTTTTAAACTAAAGGACTTTTTTTCAAAATTCTACTTTCAGTTTGGCGAGAGAGAGAGAGAGAGAGGGGGGGGGGGAAAGGGGGAGAGAGAGAGAGAGTAACGTTCACTCGACACAAACTAGGTCATTTCAGGACTAACATATGGCTTTATCTTATTTCAATAATTCGCTAGCGCATAGAGGTCTTTAGCAGTGGGAGGAAACCGGAGGACCCGGAGAAAACCCACCAGGTTGTACAGGCGACCCTATTCCTTGTCACGTACAACCGGGATTCGAAACCACTTGGCTACATAGATTTTGATGTAACGTCGAATGTTGATATGGCTTGGTCTCTACTTCTCGCCATTTCTGGCTTTTATTCGAGTTATTAAGCTGGTTACAACATTCTATGTTCGGTATATAATTGCTAGATATTGTAATACACCACCAACTAAAGTATTTAAAGCTTTCCGATCTGGAACATTTTACATGTTTATATTGTTGATTAATTTGTTTGTTGCTTTGTTTCCTATGACGTATTTTGTTATTGTGTAAGTATGAAAAATTATTTGATAAATGGGAGTTATATAAACAGCCCGAAGCTTCATAAATAACATATGTCTGATTACTATCTGGGAGAGAGATAAATGTAATTTTATATCAATAATTGAGGAAACCTTATTTACCTGTATTTGGAGACATAAGTTTATGTCAATTCCCATATCCACATTGGAGCTTATTTACTATTAAGCATTGAACCAATAATTGTTATATTAATTGTCTGTTGTGATTTATGTTGATTACTGTTTACCAAAAGAATATAGAGAAATATTAACAGCCATCAACAGTCTTGTCTTCTTTTAATCAACAACGAAGATTCCAGAAAATACACGAAAAGTGCACTTGTACAGTATCATAACTTGTGGTTTTAAAGAAGGTCTTACTCGCCCCCAAATACAGTTTAAAAATATTAACGCATTTCTGTTATAGATTATCTCCGTCGTTTAATTGTGGTCCTTTCCGACTGGAAAACCAAGTCTACGAAGTGATTACGGCACGCAGTTGCATCCCTCCTGTGTGGTTTCAAGATGGCTTGAATTGCGTCAGCACATCAACTGTTATTATACCATTAATTATATTGTTACTGTGAGTATTATACCATTTATTATATTGTTACTGTGAGTATTATATTGTTACTGTGAGTATAATACCATTAATTATATTGTTACTGTGAGTATTATACCATTACTTATATTGTTACTGTGAGTATTATACCATTACTTATATTGTTACTGTGAGTATTATACCATTAATTATATTGTTACTGTGAGTATTATACCATTACTTATATTGTTACTGTGAGTATTATACCATTACTTATATTGTTACTGTGAGTATTATACCATTACTTATATTGTTACTGTGAGTATTAGACCATTAATTATATTGTTACTGTGAGTATTATACCATTAATTATATTGTTACTGTGAGTATTATACCATTACTTATATTGTTACTGTGGGTATTATATTATATTAATTATGTTGTTACTGTGAGTATTATACCATTAAATATATTGTTACTGTGAGTATTATACCATTAATTATATTGTTAATGTGAGTATTATATCATTAATTATATTGTTACTGTGAGTATTATACCATTAATTATATTGTTAATGTGAGTATTATACCATTAATCATATTGTTACTGTGAGAATTATACCATTACTTATATTGTTACTGTGGGTATTATATTATATTAATTATGTTGTTACTGTGAGTATTATACCATTAAATATATTGTTACTGTGAGTATTATACCATTAATTATATTGTTAATGTGAGTATTATATCATTAATTATATTGTTACTGTGAGTATTATACCATTACTTATATTGTTACTGTGAGTATTATACCATTAATTATATTGTTACTGTGAGTATTATACCGTTAATTATATCATTACTGTGGGTATTATACCATTAATTATATTGTTAATGTGAGTATTATACCATTAATTATATTGTTACTGTGAGTATTATACCATTAATTATATTGTTACTGTGGGTATTATACCATTAATGATATTGTTAATGTGAGTATTATATCCTTAATTATATTGTTACTGTGAGTATTAGACCA